CACTCTCCCCATATACTACCACTTGTTGAACAGGATGGAGGATACAGAGCAGAGATGTATTACTGAAAATAATCTACAATATCCTTAGTGAATTCTTCTTCAGCTTCCTTGTTCTTTGTCAAATGAGTGTACAAAAGAACAGCTGGAGGGCAATTTTCCTTTGTACATATATCAGTTTGAGAGCTGGCGCTTGGTTCTTTTTCCCTTTTTCTTTTGCAAACCCTTAAGAAGGGCCATCTTTACCTGGGCTTCATATAAGTGCTTTGATGTTTCTTTTAGACCAATTCCATTTCTCTAAAGATTTACAAATGTTATGGCCATAATGTGTGCACAAAAACATGCAGGTATTTCCTTTTTATTCACTGCAAACTTGCAAACAGGAAAAGCTTCTTGAGGGTGTCCAGTGTGATTAGAATCGGCAAGGGCACTGAGACAAATGCTTCATTTGGCCTTCTCCTTAGGCCTTTAGCTCACTTAAAGGCATGAATACATTTCCTCACCTTTCAGGAGTGGCTCACAACCACCTGGCTATATGGAAGGAAAAGTTCCACACGATCCCTCATCGCTTGCCCTGTTCAGCAGGACTCAACTGGCAGGCACCTCCTTGGTAAGCAGAAGCAAGAAAGGGAGGTGAACACCCCTTCTCTGCGGCTGCTTGCAGCAAAGGCTCTCATGTGGGCACCTGGTTGGGGACACCTCTCTTGCAAGTGGGAGCAAGAAAGGAGGATGAGCAAGGGAATCAGCTGAGCAGCGCAGGCTCCAGTCAAGCATCCCCACCCAGCTGATTCTCACACCTTCCCACCTGTGCAAGGGAGGATATCCTCTGGTGTGCCTGGAGAGGCCAGAAGGAATATTAGTTGAGTAGCACTGCTCCTCCCACAGTGCTGCCCGGCAGGATCCCCTGTTGCCTGAGCATGGATCAGGCACCCCTCTCCTGCTCTGGCAGTCCTCCCTGGAGCTGGAGGGGAGGATGCGGATCATCGCCCTCCTCCTTTCTGCTACCCATCAGGGCATCAGGTCTGTTTGCAGAGCAAAGACTGCATGACAGCCTTGGTAAGCCAAGCTTGGCTTGTGATCGTGGTTGTCAAAGACAGGAGCCTCATTTCCCCCTGGGATGCCACCTGGAGGACTGAGAGGAAAGGCAATGGCGGGAGAGAAGAGAGTTACCACGATGTGACTGATCATCTGCCAGGCACACTGAGACAGCAAACCACTAAGAGCAGGAACTGCGCAAGGGTACTTGTCACAACCTGTGAACCCAACCACAGTCTAGAAATAGACATAGAAGAATTCAAAGCCACCGCGCTGACCTCAGAAAAGTGGCCAGAAGTTGGCACTAAGGCTTCAGATTTGGAACAAGGGAGGGTAGGAGCCAGGCTCTGCTGGGAGTCAGTGGTACCTTCGTCCCTCTTCCTCAGAAGCAGGGTAAAGCCCTCAGATGGCTGAAATCAGCCATCTCCATGGTTTGGAGGGCAAGGGAAGTGTGGGGCAATCCTTGCCTCCAAACTCCTCCTGCCTTGTCCTTGTCTGGAGGGTTACAGGAAGCCACAGTGGACGGTGCTGTAGATGCATCATGCAAGGCACAGTCCTACTGCTGGTTCCTACTGGTTCCTTGGAAGGTAGACCATCTTGGGCCACTTGACAAGGTCTCTAGGCAGGGAAGATGGACAAAGGATGGACCCCTTTACTGGCATAAAGGGGAGGTGCTGGCTTATCAAGACTTCGGCTTAGGCCAAGATTTAGACCAAGTTAACTGGATTATGGCACAGGCTGCTCCTACTCCCATCGACCGCAGCACCACCTTGCTCAATAAGTGTAGTGTGATCTTGCCCATCTATCCATTGACTGCTAGCAGTGCCAGTACTGGCTTAGGGTGAGAAGAAGCATCTTGCCAATAAGCAGACAAGGCCCTAAAGCTGGCGTGTAATTTGAAAACTCACACCTGCATCAATGTATGCTTTGCTGTAAACAACAGAGGGTATATAACAGGCTTGGCCAAACCAGGGCTCATGAACCACATGCAGCTCTTTGACTTTCTGCTACTTGCCATCTGACTTTGCTGCCTGAAGGCACCCACTTGCAACCCTCAAACATCTGACATTTACTGTATATGGCTCCTCTGTTGAGCAAGTCTGACCACCGCTGGTATATAATGTGGGCACTTGGCCCAACCCGTCTCTGTTCAGACCTTTTGGACCAGTAGGCTTCATGGTTCACCCATTCCAGCTGATGGGAACCTGCTGATTGATTGGTTGTTCACAGTGGGATTTTAACCACAGAAGGTATTAACTTCAGGACTCAATCAGTTTTTGTGGAAGCCCTGTTGTGTGGCTGTCAGCCTCCCTTCCCTATCTAGCATCACTAGATCTCTCTCTATTATGAGCCTTTCCATTGTTTTTCCTACAATGGACGTAAGGCTAACCGGTCTATAATTCCTCATGTCCTTTCTACTACCCTTTTTGAAAATTGGGATACAAAGCAAAGTGGCAGCACACAATACAGTATAAATCTAATAAAAACCAATATTAAAATCACAATTAAGTCTTAAAATGCAGGGAAAATAAAAAGGTTCTAGTCTGGTACCAAAATGAATAAAGGGACGGCACTATGCGTACCTCTCCGGGGAGCAAGTTCCAGAGCTGGGGTGCCACTGCAGAAAAGGCCCTTCTCCAGGTAGCTGTTCTTCTGATCTCCTTCAAAGAGGGCTCCCAAAGAAGGACCTCAGACCTGGATCTTAAGGGATGGGGAGGTATATAAGGAAGAAGACACTCCTTCAGATACCTAGACCCTAAACTGTTTAGGGCTTATCATTAACACCTTAAATTGGGCCCAGATTTCAATTGGTAGCCAGTGCAGACAATATAGGACTGGTGGTATGTGAGCATACCTATCAGTCCTAATCAAAGGCTGCTCTGTTCTGGACCAACCAAACTATCTGGACCATCTTCACCCCCATTAGAGTACGTGGCAATAATCCAATCAGGAGGTTACCAGTGCATGGGTCTCACTGCTGCTAGGTAAGGGTCTCAGTGTTGCTCTGCTCATCCAGGTAAGGGAACAGTTAATGGACCAGTGGAAGCTGGTGGAAAGTGCTCCTCACCACAGCAGTTACCTGGAACAACAAGGATAACTCTAATAACAGTGCACAATCCCAAACATCTCTATCAAGTGTTCCCTTCCGTGCCTTTTTTCTCAGCTAAAAAGCTCCATACGGTGTAACCTTCACTCAGACCATATAACTGTAGCAAACCATAACATGCAAAGAGTTGTCTCCCATTCTTTCATAAGAACTTAAGAAAAGCCTTGCTGGATCAGGCCAAAGGTCCATCTAGTGCAACATTCTGTACACATGGTGGAAAACCAGTTGTCCACAGGATAGCTCAAGGAGGAAGGGTGCAAGAGCTCCACCTGCCCAAGCTCCTCAGCAACTGGTATATGCAGACTATATAGGAAACCTGTTGCATATGGGGAAGATATCCATCTTGGATAAGAAATATCTCTGATAATTTGCAAATCTGAGATCAATTCAATAAAAGCAAATATATGAAATCAAATTTAATAAAAGCTAATACACAAGGTAAGACAGAAATTAAATGACTCCTTATCTTTAAATTATATTAAATTACTGGTTTTAAGGAAAAGAAATTTACTCCTTTGTTTTCAAAACTATCACTGAAAATTTCACCAGTGTGAATGGAAAAGCCAGCATTATTCCCATGTTAACCTTTTGCATGTCTGGAATTAGCCTGAGATTTCATACACAGAAGTTCAGTTTCTTTGTCCAGCAACTTTAGGCTCTGTTTATTCTGTAATTAGAAATGCAATCAGTGTCATCTCCCTACGTCACATTAGAAGGCAATGTTCAAACTCTTACAGTAGTCAGCCTGCAACGCTTAAAGTCTGCCAAGTTCAATCACTGTTACTGTACCTTTAAAATCTGGAATCAAACCAGCAAAATGAGGGCAAGCAGTGTGAGGTCCAGCCCTTGAGAGCAGATTCAGATGCCTCATTCACGGACAGTGCACAGAGAAAGGCAGCTTTGAGAGTGCTGACTGCTCTGGCAGAACTCCATCCGCCACCATGGCAAAGTGCGTGGCCCCCACTCTCCTGCTCCTCTTCACCCTGGCAAGCTCATCCCTTGCACGTCAAAAGCTCCTGCTGTTCTTGATGGATGGGCTTCGCCATGATTATATCAGCGATGAAGCACTGGACTCCTTGCCTGGATTCAAAGAGATTGTCAACAGGGGAGTGAAAGTGGATTACCTAACCCCAGACTTTCCCAGTCTTTCCTATCCAAATTATTACACACTGATGACCGGTGAGTACAGTCCTTGATTTTCTCGTTGAAGTGCTGTCAAAATCGAGCAGTCTGAATGGTGAAAGATCACGTTAGGTCACTAGGTTCCCCAGCACAGTGTGGGTGAGCATTCATTGACGGCGAAGTTTAAAAGGCATGACTGGAATGGATTGAGAGGCAGAGAGAGAGGGAGGGGGAGAGAGAGAGACCCATCATTCATTCCACTTTGAAGGAATAACTTGTACAAATTTTACTTTATCAAATTGGTGTCCCGTTTTCAAAGCCCAGTTGTAAAATCGCAACCAGAGAGTTGTTAATAAACTTAGTCTGAGTTATACTAGTCTATTTAAATTATAATAAGTAGTTCTAAATTAGCATCTATACACATAAATTATCTCATCTAGATTAGCAGAATAAGAATTGAGTTGAACTCTCTTCTCAGAAGAGAGTGCCTGCCATTAGTAAAGGTAATTAAGGGCAGAATCTTACGATTGTTCAGAGGAGACTTACAACTTCCAGCATCCCGCAGCCAGCATAGGGTTCCTCTCTTAAGGGTTTTAGGATATGACAGCTTTTTTCAGCTGGTACGTGTTCCATCACTGAAACATGAGATTGTGTTGAGTGTTTCAGGGTCACTTTTAGAACACGTTCAGCTCCTTGATAAAAACATACACACAACTTTGAGGGCGATTTAAAGCATACTTCGTGATCTGTGACTAACTAAAAATGAAAAATCACATTAGATAGGAAGAGGTTATCATTAGTTTCCTTTACTTTTCGTTACTTGACACATGGAGAATGCAAATACTTCCAGCTTGGTTTATAGAGTAAATTGTGTCTATACTGTAAAGTTACTCTTTCAAGGCTCCTGCTTCACAGCTCTGTGAGTCTGAAAAGAGATTTTTAGAAGGGGTCAAACCAGTTGGACAAGCTTAGTCTGGCACAGCAGCTCCTCTTGTGGAGATGAGTCAAGGAGTGACTATCCTCAATGAGAGTCAGAGAGACTATTCTGGAAGGGAACTTTCCTTTCTTTCCCTACATCGCATCCTAAGGACTGTGTAAAATGAGTCTGGGAAGAGAACAACATAGGCAGCTAAGGCTGTGCATTAACAGCCTGTGGTGGAAGTGGATCCAAAAAGGGGGACAGAAAGCTGATCTTGCTCTCTTTGTGAAATTCTATGGGGCCAACACCTGAGTGGAAACAGGAGTTTATTGGAGTGCTGATGCTGTGGATCCTCACCTGATGCTCAGCCTGATATATGTGTAAGTAAATCTTACATCATAGAAATCCTATATAGTTTCCAGTGACTTCCTCAGGAAACTGAACCATGAGTACGTCCTGGGGCTTCTACTAACTATTAAAACAGGGAAAACAATGCCTACACAGAAAAGTCACAAAGTGTATAGACAAGAATGGTGCAGTGAGAGTTGAGGGCTGTTTAACATTATTATCTGATGAATCTGTTAAACCCAAAAGCCCACTAGCCTTAGGTTGTTGTGGTTAGGTGTTATCAAGCCATTTCCTACGAATGAAAGCCCTCCTCAGTATCTCGTCCATGGCCTCTCTTGCCTTATTCTCAATAGTTATTAATAAATACATAATTGCGGTTTGGAACAATCCATTGGGAACAGCTTTCTCTAGAGCCAGCTGTTATAACTGCAGAAACACATACATGTTTCTGCAGTTCATTTTATGTGAAAAGGGAGAATAGAGAATGAAAAATATCCTTTTGTCTATGAAAAAAACCTGATTTGTCTAATTTCACAATACTGGCCAAAGATGTTGTTTTAGTGGTAGTGTTTTAAATCTCAGCTGTTGTCTCATTCTGCATCCTGCTGCCTGTAATAATAAAAACTTGCAGGTACAAACATTCCAATATATGCTATAAACAACATTTTTTCATTCTTGGTGAACTGCCATTTGTCTACCTCCCTGGTAGACTTTACGGGTGCAACCCTAGGCATGTTTCAGCACAAGAAAAGTCCTAAAATTGTGGATTCCCTAGCTACCCATTTGGGGGAGAGAATATTGGGAGGCAAAGGAATTTTTCTGAGCATGCATAAGGTTGCACCATAAACATTTTACATCCTGATTCTAAGTTTTTGTGCCAACATTAATGTATATAATGTACATGACAATTGCATGATAAAAAATCTTTGTAAAACTGGCATATCGTGTTTTTGTCTTGCTATCCTTGGTAGGATGGTACAACAGACCTTATGAGAGGGGACTAATTATGCTTGCTGGCTGTTCAGATTACCTACCTAGAAGTCCTTTTCACTAGAACAGGACTCTGTCAGTGTTACCAGTTTGTGGACTGGAGCTTCCATAATGTTTCCAAAGTTCACATTTCCATCATGATTCATTGACACAGCAGGCAGGCACAAGGAAAAAGAAGAATATAAACAAGCAAAAACGTGTCCAAAAACTGCATGTTGAACCTTGAAAGTGAAGACATGTTTTGTATAAACTTTATGAGACATAAAGGAGCTGCCACAGTTTAAATGTATCCCAAGTTGTTAGTATCTAATACCAACACTCATATCCCTTATATCACTCTGTTTCTTGGGATAGGTCAAAGGTGACAGTCTCAATGAAGATGAATCATTTCTACTCTGAAATGAAAAGTGCCACATTGTCTACAAACAGTGTCTGAAGTTGGGCAACCGGCATTAAAAAGACAGACAGAGCCCATATTCCATTGTCTAGCCTGTATAAAGCTGGAATCCTAAGCGAAGCCATGGTCTAGGCATGTCCTGGACATCACTGCATGAGGATGCAGTTGATGGATATTGGGGTTCTAGTAGAAAACAAAATAGTTCTCACAAGCTTGAAGTCTGTCTAACACTTCTCTAGTCCATGAGTTTCAAAAAGAGTTGGAAAGAGTTGGCATTACTGCATTTCCATCAAGCTGAGGGGCTTGCCTTGAGGGTGCAAGATATAGAATTGTGCCCTACATGTTATAATTCATCATGTAAAAGATTTGGATTACAGAGAGAGAGAGTTTTAATTCATCTAACATTCACCCTGAATTTGTTCTCTCCAGTGGCTGGAGTTTATGGTGTGATAGGTACTACTTACAATTATCAGCAAAATAAAATTGAATGAGTTTGTTTGTTTGTTCTCCATTTGCTCTTTAATTGGTTCTCTTTTTCTTCCTTTAATTCCTTTCTTCTCAGTTTTTTTTTTTTTTTTTTTGAGCGGGAAGGCTGTGGGGGAAAGGAAATGGTTCTAAAATATCCATCGTATTGGAAATTGGAACACTGAGTAGAAAAGGAGACAGCACAACTATAGGAATTCCTTTGGGTTTTTCTGCACATGGCTTTACAGAGGCTTCTGCTTTCAGATTCTTGGAAGAATTACGATCAGCTCCTTTACACATTTTCCCAGAGGTCTTTCTTTCTTTGCCTTTCTATATGTTCCATCACATGACCAAAAGGTGATGCTGTAGCCTAACAGAGTTGCACTAATATGCGAGAGCTTCTTGCCACCATTCACAGATATACCTGATGTTCCCCATTAGAAACACTGCACACAAACTCAGGAGAGGCCCTGGAGGAGGATGAATTTGTGCAATGCACCCACAAGCTAAAATGAGTGAGAAATCAAGCACACAAGAAGTGCTTTAAGTAGAAAGGCTGCTTGATGTACTCTGCAGTGTACTCTGCTCTGATCATGGATAGATAATATTTAATCTTGTTTGAAGCATGGCATATACTCATCAAATGACAAAATGGCCTTGATAAGAACAGACCCAAGACTAATTCTGAGTATCACTTCAACCAGCAGTTTTTAATAGACTTTGGGCCAGAAAATACACTAAATGCACTAAAAATATTAATAGGCTAGAGGATTCTCTCTTGTCCTGTAGTGGTCTAAATCTGAGTGTCTTTGTGTAGAAGTCAGCACTTTATTAAATCTACTGAGGCATCTTCTGTTTGCACTGTCACTCCACAGGGCTGGGCATAGAAGGGCTGGGCATAGAAGAGTCATCGTTTGAGAAGCACATGATACATAACAGGGCAAAATGTACCTTAGCAAACACCTCCAGAACAGAATGCTCATGTATAAAGCCTTCTCTGCAACAGTTTACTTACAAAGATGCATATTGTGCAAATTTGTTACTTCAGGAGACACACATTGTGCAAATTTGCTCTGACTTGACAACTCACACTCAAGCACTGGGTAGAGACTTTCCCCCTTTGTTCATATTTTTATGCATGCCCAAGTAGTGGCAAGTTCTAGGGGACAGCACTTTATCAGAAGTACATTATGTTTAATTTTTGCTTCACTGACAAATTTATAATGAGAGCGTAAGTGGAGCCAAACAGCCACTCAGTAAGGAGTAGTTCCAGAGATGAACTAGGGCAACTCCTGCAGTGAATTTTGCCTAGGAACAAGGTCTGACATCAGGAATTGTCACCTGCCAGGGTCTACCACCAATTTTCAGAACCTCCTTCCCTCTTGCTCTTCTTCTCTGCTGCCATGGCTACTGCTCCATTTGTTTGGGTCATACATGCATCTGAACTTCTTTCCAAGTTTGAGTAAGCCCCTCTGAAACTAGAGAAACAGTTTCAAACATGCTGAGTTCAAGGACCCGAAAGCACTTACACTGTTAGGAAAACAAACAAGCTGCCTGTGGAAAGGAAGTTTTTTTTGGGGGGGGGGGTGAGGAGGGGTCAAAAAACTACTTTCTGAAAAATGGGACATGGGATGGTTGCTTGGTGCTGGACAGAAGGTTATGGTTATGGTTGGGTTGTGAGACATTTATTTGTATGCCACTTCAAGAGGGTTCCAACCTTAGAGGTAGCCTAGAAGTAATTTTAGTGAGCCTAACACAGAATACAATTGAGTGCTTATGCCCCTGCCAATTCCTAACAGCAAGTGGGATCCATCACTTGCAGAAGGTAGATTTGGCACTTCTAGACGAACCAGAAACAATTCTCAGTTTTCGGAATACTTTTTCCTAATCATGGGTTCCCACTGATTAACAAAACAAAACCAAGCCAAACCACCCAGG